TTTTGGGAAATTTGACATTAAACATTTTGAGTTTCACAACCGGTCTAGTTTTTTTCTAATTTAATGCAATTCTTCAAGTATAATGGTACGATTTTGATAGAGCGGATATAAGAACAATTTGTTTTCCGACCTCGTTGTCTTAGTAACTTTACTCAAAGCAGCCCAAAAGCGGCACACGTATTAAACTTTGTAATTCTAAGATAACAAAATCTCTTAGTTCAGACAAAGTATGAGACTGAAGTACCTTTTTGTGCTCTTTGTCAGATTTTGGGTGTATTAAATAAATTGATGCTTTTGAAAATGAAAAAAAATTGAACTGAAAAAAAAAACCCCAAAGAAAAACAATACCTTATCCAAAGTTTTCGGACTATTTAATTTTAGTTTTGTATGTTCTTTTTAAATTTTAAACTCTCTCTCACTCTCTCTCTCTCTCTCTCTCTTTCTCTCTCTCTCTCTCTCTCTCACTCTCTCTTTCTCTCTCACACACACACACTCTCTCTCTCTCTCTCTCTCTCTCTCTCTCTCTCTCTCTCTCTCTCTCTCAGTGTCTGTGTGTGCAAGGGCAATGTTTGTAAGTGTAAGTAAGTAAAATAGCAAACAAACTAACTAACCTACAAAAAGTATTTAAAAATATGCAAATAAATAGATAAATAAATAATAAATGATGGAAGACAAAAACAATATTGAACCGGCTCAGTGGCAGTCAACAGGTCTCATTACTCTCAAATAAACATAAAACGGGGAATTAACCAACTTGCGCCGCGGAGTTCTTTGACCCAGAAAGACAATAAAACATTCACCAATGAGGTCAATAATATTATTATGATGTTTTGGAGTCTCGTAAACACACGAATACGACCATGAAAGAAACTACAAGAAGACACAGACAGTCTTTTTTTTATATTTGTCTTTAACCCTATCCGTACGCCCTGGGGTGGTTTTATACCCCCAGGGTTGTATCCTTCACTTTTTAGAATACTTCTAGTACGAAAATCTCTTTGAAACTTTCAGTATTTCTCAAAAAATCATTTTGACAGACTGCTATGCAAAGCGCACGGATCAGATTAACGACCAAATTTCCTCTCTGGAAAGTGGTGGCACAGAGTTCCCCACGTCGTATTGATATGATAGTAAAACACAACGTACGGTTAAGGTTAAGTGGTGGCACAGAGTTCCCCACGTCGTATGGATACGATAGTAAAACACGACGTACGGATAGGGTTAAGTGGTAAAAGTGGGTAAGATTAATCTATGCTGAACTTTTCGTATTCTTTTGCAGTTGATTGGGAGTTTTTTAATTAATTTATTTGTTTGTTGTTTTTGAGAGCATCGTAGAAAAGAAATATATATATATGGGGAACTGCGATAGCTGATGTCTATGGTATGAGATTTATTATTTTAAATTGTAAAATGATGAGGTGATTTTACACCCCCATCGACACAAGTTACATCGTTTACAAGGCGCGCCTGGACCGTGCCTATCAGGTCCAACCGGGGCTGAGAAAAATGCTGGGAAAAAAAGAGATAATCGATTAAAAATCTTTCCCAGTTGAGAATCGAAGGCAGAGAATCAAACCCGGATATCCTGCGGGTGACGGCAAATGACCGAGCCGCTACACCACAGACGCCAGTCAAAGATAATCTAACTAGAGCAGAAAGACCAGCTCTCTGTGAACTGAGAAAGAATACTACATTCTGCTGGCTGACTATAAAGTTAAAATCTATTGTATTTATTATCTATTTATTATCGTCTATTATGTTGACTTATTCTTCAAAAGGTATTTATTATTTTCTGTTATTATTGATGATGTTGACTGGTTATGCATTAATTAATTATTATTTATGACATTGACTGGTTATACAAAAGGTATTTATTTTCTTTTATTATTGATGATGTCGACTGGTTATACATTAATTAATAATTATTTATGACATTGACTGGTTATACAAAAGCTATTTTATTATAATTTATCATTCTAGTCTGTCTACTGGCTATACCGGCACTAAATATATATTCATTCATAAATTATTCATTCGAATCAATGCTGACTGGCTAATACACATTTATCATATATATATATATGTGTCACGATTGTTATGTTCCTCTTACTACACAAATTCCATATGTGTCACGACGCTGTGGAATCAGGCGCTCGTCAATTTTTGATCATGTGGAGTTATTGGTATCATCTGAAAGCTGACTTATTTGCCTTGATTCCAATGAAATAAAGGCCCATTTATCTTGTATAGAACTACAGATGTTTGCCATTGAACAAAGTGGGGTTGCCTGGTTTCAGTGAGTGGTATTATTAGCGAGAAAATGGCCGCCATAGTTTGGTTATTTTCATAGCTTAATAGTTCGTGGGAACTGAAAGCGTACATTTTTGGTACCTTTATGCAATGTTTTTCAGTAAAAATCCACCCAGAAATGTGTTCTTAATTGGACAACAATGGTGTTATTTTAAGCGGGAAAAGAAAAATTGGTGGAGAAAAATTGGCGGACGGGCAGAAAAATGGCTGTTTTGTGAATTACTTCATTGTTTTGACGAGCGCCTGATTTCTGCACACTGCCTCACATTTGCTATTTACTAGGTTGGCTATACAAGAGCTATTTTTATCCCCGGGACTCCCCGTTGCCGTTAACTTAGTTGGTGTCATGCTGGCCTAAAGAGCTGATGGCCACGGTTCGAATCCCAGACAGAGTGTTGTTGAACTCGGGTCGTTTTGTGGAGTTGTCAAGGCTCTTGAGCTCAACCCGCTGGGTTCGGTCTTATTGACTATTGGTGACAGTCGCTCAATAAATTCTGATGTCCCCCGTTTCCCCCC